AGACACAGGAGATCGGAAGAATGCCAGGAGTACAATATTCTGGCTTGTGTGGAAATCAGAAACTACTTTCAGGATAAATGAGATGTCATGCACAATATCATATGAACCTTTGAAAGATAAGCTGGGGGCACCAACCCACGAGCACATAGTTCACCACCTTCCTGGAGAGAAGATATATGGTAGTGCTAGCTAAAGATTCAAACAGCTATGTAGTCAGAACCTCCAAACCCACAGAAAGATTCCAGGAGAAGACAAGCAGACAAACAGGAGGGGCAACATTTCTAATTCTATTAAAAGATTGCCTAGGAAAGGGATGAGAGAAGACTGTATAGCTGTATAGGTTGCGGGGAGGGGGAAGCAGAAACAGTGGTGAGCTGAACAAAGAGAGATGGCCCTTCTTGAACAAGAGGAGGAATATAAGCACATAACTGATGAAGCAGGCAACTGGATCCACTCCTGCAGTAGAGGCAATAGCGATCCAAAGAAAGGGGAGGTGATGGGATGGCAAGCAGATGTAGGATAGCCAAAACTGCCATTTATCAGTTGGTTCCTCTTTCTGTTGATAGCAGTTGATAGCGGTGCAGCCTATTAAGAAGCTTTGATACTGAAAGACTAGCTCTTCCCAATGCTATCACAAAATGGAACTGAAGAAGTAAGGCGGAACCTGCTGCCAGCGTGTGTGCTAGACAGTAGAGGGAGGGTTACTGCCAAAAATTCCTCAGCTTTGAAGTTTCCTGAAGATGCGCCACAGGCACAGAGCCCCTGTGTATGATGCACAGAGACCACAATGAAAATTTGCTTCCCTTCCATCCCAGTCCTTTCCTATCTGGTGGGATCATGAACAGAAAGGACTTCCTCTCCTCTTAAAAACAAAACAAATCCATCAGTTCAGGGGTACCACACAGACATTTGCAACCACCCTCATTGGACAGTATGAATAAACGTTTTTTAAAGGCTGAATCAGCTGCTTGACTTTGGCAGTGGTTTTGGGGCCTGCTGGGCTGAGGCCCCAGACTTCTGTTCAGTGGTCTGGAACAAACACTATCACTGAATCTATTCTGTGTCAAACAGTTCTGTGTTGAATCATATCAAGGATCCATCTAGTTAATCCAGTTATTTATGTACTGTGTGAAGAAGTACTTTTTTTCTGTTGTGATCCTACTCTGCAATACTGGGTTATAAGAAACAGAGAAGAATTTCTTTCTACTGTGCCCCCTTCAATTATCTTTTCTCTTAATGTCATCCTACATTTTTGGATACCTACCCTTGGGTCACATTATGTCAGTCCTTTCAGGACATCACCAAAGTCTAGTCAGAAATGTCTACAACTTTCAGCTTCTTATTTAAGAGTTTTCTTTCTATAAACCAAAGCATGTCTGGGGTAACAAAATGTCCAAAAGTGTTCATGTAAATAGCTAAATTGGGTATTTTTGTGAACCTAAACAAAGGAAACATTTAGAGATGTAGCTAACAAAAGGCAATCTTAGTCTCTTTTCCCAAAGCTAAAAACTTGCACAAACAGAATTACAATTCACTGAGGAATTTTTTTTAAAGGATGATTTAAATTTTGTAGGCCTGACTATTGTTATGCAGACTAAAGAACAGATCAAGAATTGCTATGCAGATTTTGTTATGCATAGCCTCAGAAAGGATTAATTTGTAAATTACCTGTACTTGCTGAAAGCCATTCTTCTGTTGATTTACTTCTACCAGAGAAGTAAATAAAATAAAAACTGAATAAAAACCTTTTCACATGCAGCATTTTTCTTGCCTGAGGCATGGCTGCCTGGGGTAACAAAAGGACCCCAAACACAACTAATGGTATGTTCCATTTTAACGCAGGATAAAGGACAAAAACAGCACATAAGTTAGCCTTTCCTTGTAGGGAAAACATTTGGTACATTTCTCTACTATAATGCCCTTTTTACACTGAAGTGGCCAAACTACTGACTGCTGTTTTGTCCAAATTTATCTTTTAAAAATGCTTCTTAATTTCTATCAAATCTAAAATCGTTTAAACATATTTTGTTTTAAAATCATTGGTCTATGGTTTCTTCCAGTGTTATCCCATATTTACAGTCAAAACTTTGCTGACAAAAACATACCTAGCTCCCTCTCTCATTTTTCTGATATTTTAAGGATTTTTGTAATCCTTTATGACTGTATAAACTTATCAGATGGGGCTTAATAAAGTATTCCAAACTGTGATAATTCTTTAAGTGATATTTCCCTAAAAGCACTTGGACTACATATGCATATTTTTAGAATATATTGGAACAACCTTTGGTCCGATACTGTTGTGCTTGCACAAAGGTGATAACCAAAGTGAAGATAACCATCTTCAGCAAACATCCCCAGCAACAATATCCATCAAAATATTTCTCTTATTTGTTATTTATGTATCTATGTGATATAAGTTCCCTAGCAACAATTGCTCTCTTACTTATTCATTATATATGAAGCATAGATTATAATAAACCTGCCATAATCCTATCTTTATATTTAGCCCATGCTGCATATACTGTTTTGACTCATAACTTGTCTTTTAACTCCAGTCAGTAACTGAACAAATTTGACTGCAAACCGAACTTGTGTACTAAGAATAACATTGACTGTGTGGAATTTACTAATACAAAATTCCCCACACCCAAATCCAGAGACACTTTGGGGAAATGATGTCTGTAGATACCCCAGGTAATTTCCTCTAGCAGATTAATGTATGATAAAGCCACCCTAGGTATTATGTTAAAAACCTTAAATATTGTTCAGACAACACAGAATTCATAAACCTTCAGAAATAAAAAAATATATTACTCTTACTCATTTTTCAGCACAAAACCCCACATAAAGTTGGAGGTATCAGTCATTTTAACTGCAATATTCAGACCAGGATAGTAAAATAAGAAGTCCTTTCTATCCCTCAAAACTTCATATTTAAATAGAATGTAAGCCTGGCTTTTAAGCAAACAGACATTTCCTAATTGGCAGTTGAATCCAAGAACATCTGTGCTTCTTTATCCTTTTGTGTATGGTAGATTATGTTTTGAGTGATTTTCTTCTCTTACCAACCATACCTACAGAATCTATGTATGTTTCTTCCTTTTCCTTTAAATGAGAACACCAACCTGTGCGCCACAATTTGTCACACTGCATCCATACAAGGAAGCAGCTATATTACATCACACTATTAAAGAGAAACTAGTGATGGGACTGTCAGTCACATATCCATCTCCTGTTGATGAATACAGTGGCATATGCATGCCCTGCTTTAACAGTAAAAGGAAGTGCACAGGAGAGGGGCACAAAACTTCCCCCCTTTGCTGAACATTAGCTGAGAAGAGAAAGGTTGGGAATTCTTGTTATCTCCAATCCGTGATCGGAGATAATGAAGAGACACATCTGCATGCTATTGAGCTCACAGAGCAGAGAAACAAGGGATTCCTCTGGGCGATTAGTAGGTGCTGACTGAGCATGCTTCACTCCTGTATCTCCTTCCCCATGTAGCGAAGAGAACCAGAATCAATGCTGACTGCACACTGGAAGGACACTTAAAAGTTGTTCCTGGAAGTGCGATCCAAGTCCCTTCCCTTCTCATGCCATGCACACTACCATCTGGAATAGCAGCACACATCTTCAAGAAGCTTGGTTTCATCTATCCCACAACTTCACCCATGGGAAAAAGTACAAGGCAGAGAAGCCCTCAAGGAGGACACACAAGGTAGATGATCTCCCCAGCACAGTGGTTCAGGTACAGCTGCCATCAGGGGTGTAGCTGCATCTCTGATGTCATTCATCCCATGAAGGGCTGGGGGCTGGCATCCAATGCATCACCTAAAATCCATTTCCAATCATTGCACTCAGGATTCAGTGCCCTGTCCCATGTGTTCTTTTCTACTAATCTTATCCCTCTTTTATACATGAATGGAAAGAATACATGAAAAGAAATATATAGCTACCACCAGTACATTTAGTTATCAAAGAGCATTAGAGTGGTAGAATGTGGAGTGGAAAAGTTCTGCTTCTTTCTCAACAGTTCATGATATAGTGGTACCTTGGATCACAAACGCCTCAGTTGACGACCAAATTGGGTTGCGAACAGAAATTTCAGAAAAACTTTGCCTCAGTTTGCAAACTCTACATTGGGTGATGACCACGATCGCGGCCATGTTGCCTGAACAAGTGTGATCGCCATCGTGCCCATCTTCCCCCTTAGCGTGATCGCCATCGTGCCCGTCTTCCCTGCACAAGCACAATCGCCATTCCCCCAACTTCCCTCCTCCTGAGCATGGTCACACCTGTCTTTCCTGCACGAGCGCGATCGCCATCATGCCCATCTCCCCGCCACCTGAGCATGATCGCTATCGCACAATTATCATTTGGACTCTCCCTCCAAACAATAACCTCCCCACTGCCTAGGTTAGTGTTCGCTACTGTACTTTACTTTGTTACTTTGTTTCAAATTGTTGTGATTAAAAAAGTATTTACAGAACGGATTAACCTTATTTACATTGAACCTTATGGGGAAATTTGACTTGGCTCGTGACCAATTCAGGTCATGACCAGAGTCCTAGAACGGATTAAGTTCATGAGCCGAGGAACCACTGTATGTGTAACAGCACTGAGCATCACCACTACAGCCATTCAGGATACAGATCAGGCTCTGTTAAAATATATCATTTGTAAGATACTACATCTAGGCAAATCCTTTTTTTTTTACAACCAAGTTATTAATGTTTACTCTATAAAAGCCACAATCCTTGGAGGTTTGGGGGGATCTTTAACTTATGGGAGGGAGGGAGGGAGGGAAAAGGAAAAGAAAAGACACATGTTACACATAAGCTAAACTGACTCTCACTTCTCATAGGTTTTAGGGTTAGGAAGGAGAAATGTCATCAGTTCCATATAAGGATAGTGTGTGACCTAATCATTGTTAAGAACAGCATGCAAAAGGGAAACAGTTGCATATGAAATGTCAGGCAAGGAAGAGCAGAACACAGAGGACTTAACAGACTACTAATAGGTGAGCACAGAAAATATTATGTTTGTTTTTGTTTTTCAAAAAAGTGAATTGTGGTGGGGAGTTGACAAGGAAATTAAGAACAGCTTTCATACAGCAGTAATTAACAGAAGCAAATAACAAGACTGCAGTGAATTTTTATCCCAGGAACACAGTTCAATTAACTCTTATATCAGTGGCAAAACTATTATTTATAATAACAAGATGATGAAGAAAGAAGATGGCACCAAAAAGAAATAGTATACTTCCAGTAAATATTGATTGTACAAAAAGTGAGGGGTATTAAATCCAATGTGGCTTTTTAAACAAAAAATACAATTTGGCAAAACCAACGTAAGATTCCAAAAGCCTGATTCCCCACATCTATCCCACTCCAATAGTTATACTCAAATTGTATATTACATTTTGGTGCAAGACAAGTATTCAAAGAATAAAGAATAAGTGCTTATATAATATGAAGTACTATTAAGTGGTTCTTAAAAGATTATAATTGTTATTAATTTTAAAAGAATGCATTGTAAGCATTAATATCCTTTTTGACAAATGTTTTCTTTTAAAACCATTATTTACTTATTAAATTTATACTCCCTAATAGCTGAAAGCTCTTTGGGTAGTTTACAATAACTAATAGATGTTTATTCCCCACAGCCCTCAACAATCTAAAATACCTTTACTTGTTATACTTTAGTATTGCAAAGTTTTAGCTGCTTTGAATAGTCTTCCTGCTTTCCTTTTTCTATTTAGTCCAATCCTATGCATTCTTACTCAGAACTAAGCCCCACTCAACAGAGATTACTTTCATGCAAGTGTGCACTAGACTGCAGGGTGCTTTATTGAGTATGTTTTATTTGTGTGTTTGTGTGTGTGTATCTGTGTGTCTGTGTGTTGCTGTTTCTTTGACACCAACAAGCTGATAGATACAATGCAATAAAAATTCAATAAAAATAGCAATACAAAGATCATACAAATAAAAAAAAAATTAACAGCCAAATTTAAAAGTTGCGATTTACACAAATTAAATTTAAAGACCTATTAAGCACTTGGCATAATGCCCAAATATAATATAAAACTAATTGAATGTCTTGTCATAGAGGATAGTCTTAAACTGGTACCAAAAATAAATTAAAGTTGGCATCAGGCAAACCTCAGTGGGGAGGTTGTTCCACAACTGGGGAGCTGTCACTGAGAAGGCCCTGCTCTTCTCCTCATTGTTACCAACTAAACCTCTCTTAGAGGTGGCAGTTGGAAGCAGGCTCTAGATTTGATTGTAGTGCCCAGGTAGCTTGCAGCTGGGAGAGGCGATCTATCAAGTATCGCAGTCCCAAGTCCTGTAGAGCTTTATAGGTTAAAACCATCTCCTTGGACTTGGAAGCCTATAGGCGGCCAATACAAGTGGGCGAGAATGTGTTTGGCTTTCTGGTTCCCGTTATTAATCTGGCTGCTACATACTGCAGCTGCCACTTCTGAACAGTCTTCAAGGGCAAGTCCACAACATAGAGTGCATTGTGAGAACCAAGTTTAATGTATATTAATTTAAGTGAGATCCTGTAAAATATTTTAGTGGAACAGAAAATTATTTTTGAGAGCTCATAACATAGTCTGACACATGTATTTTAAACCACACAAAGAGTCAACCTTTAAGGAAAAAATGGCATTTTATTATATTTGCTCTGAAATAAATTCCATTGTTTTCAAAGTAACTTATTTTTATTTTATTTATTTATTAAAACATTTTTATGCCGCCCCATTCGCCGAAGCCTCGGGTCGGCTTACAACAAATAAATTAAATAACATTTTAAAATATTACTTTTAATATTTAAAAGTTATTTTAAGTTTATATTTAAGTTAAATGTATATACCATGCATTTTCAGGCATTTCCCCCCCAGACAACTGCAAATCCCACCCTTTAAAAAGTGTTCTGCCACTGACATAAATAGAATATGGACTTGAAATCTTTTTGCCAGTCAGAATTTATTTCAATGAAGGAGTCCACTCATTCATGTTTGGGGTTGCATAACTTTTAACAGAGTGCTATGAGGGTAGGCCAGAAAAATCACCTCAACATACAATGAAATAGTGAGATTATTTTAAGGGATTTTCCCCTCCAAAAAACCCCACCATAGTTTCTAACCGTAGTATGAGTGTTTTAATGCACTGAAAAATGCACTGTGGTTCTTTGCCAATGCAGATCAGATTTCCACTTTTCATAAACTGTCACATTATAGGGCAAAATTACAACAACCAACTTGATATAAAATCCATACCAGCTAGTTGCACATCATCCTATCCTCCCTCACACTCCCAATAACTGAACATTATGCTGGATTCACAACTTCTGTTTATAAACCTTCTATTTTATTTACTTTCTTCTGACATTTTGACAGGCTCTGCTGTATTAACTAAATCAGCTTACAGTTTGCTTTTGAAATAGTAAAACTACAATGCATTGTCTTATTAAACAGTTTTTCTCTCTCAAACTGTTTCCGATTAGGAAAATATGTGAAAATATAACCCATTTAATGCCATATATTTTGTTAGAATACAGAATGGAGCTGAGATACTCAAGAGTTTTATACATTAAAAAATAGTAACATATTTAAAAAATCTCCTTATTTTGCAGTCACAAGCTCTGTTTTAACCCTGTGTGCACATTTCTAATGCATTTTGCAGGGTTTTTTTAAACAGGATGTCAAATCTCTAGCTAAGATTACTGGAAGTAAGAAATCATATAATAACAATACAGAAATATACAAAAGCTGGGAGGAGCAGTACTATCTAAACAAATCACTCTGGCACTCGAAACTAGAAAGCATTAGGAGTTAGTGCCAGCATGATCTCTTCCTTCCTCTTCTCGGCATCTGTTATCCCTTTTTTTCTACTTTTTTTTCCTGTAAGCTAGTTCCATTTTATTTTTACAGAACGATTTTATTATAATATTGTGAAGTGTATTCTGCTATGTGCAATGGAATTTATTTCTAGAACTGTATGCAAAGAAATGCAGTCTAAGACTATAATTATATGCATGTATATGCATAATGCATAGCACTGAATTGCATGTTGTTGTTACAGAAGAATGATCACAAATCCCATCCTAATGAATACATTCATTTGCAGAGAGCAGAAAAAGGATACATCCTTATAATCCATAAAAGTACGTAAGAAATGTTATTATGAATTGGACTATCTTGTTTATATTAACAGTGCCACAAAACTGCTGTGGCAATTTGGGTTGCCTACTATGCAACATTTTAGACTTAGCATAGTTAGGAAAATCTGGAAGCTGAAAGCCACACAGTTGTTTCTCCTTCTCTTCATGGCCAGCCCTACCATAATGTAGAATAGTTGGTAACACCCAGAGAGCCTTTACGGCTAATGGAACAAAATAAAAATCTAATAAATAAAGTAGGATACTCTGCTGAAATCTGTTTACTTCTGGAACAAATTTAAAAGCAGCAAAAACAGTAAAAATGCAGTCAGGAATGAAACTTGGCAAGAGTAAATTCTCAGCATTTAGCAGTGTATTTTACAGCTTCCCTATCACAATAAATAAATAAATAAAACTTCCCTTGACCTACCATCTTTCTTTTCATACTTCAGGCAAAAGATTTATTCTTAGTATTATCACAAGATTTATTCTTAGTATTATCATATTCTCTTCATATTCACAAAAAAATCCTGAATTCATATTCTTTCCAGTTCATGTGATGAACTGAATCAAGTGGAGGTTTCAACATGAGTATATAAGTTAGTTCTGAAAAAACAGACTGAGGGTTTTGTCCACTTGCTTCAAGTCCTAAGTTTGCTTCCTCTCATTTCAAAATTCTGATCCTTTAGAAATTGTTGTTCTGAAAGCTAAGAGTCTCCCAAAAAGTTGAAATTGAGAAAAAAGTATTTCAGACATAAATTAAGTGCTATCATTTTTAGTTTTCTAGAAGGTTTACCTATCAATCTGTTGTAAATGGAAACATGTTTCTCTGTATCAGTTATAACATATTTCCATTTCTTTTGCTATTTTTTCTAGGTCTCCTGAACTTCCTGGAGATAACAACATCAGCTATGACAACAACATCAACATCAACCATTCTGGTGTCTACAAGAAACCAGACTAACATAACCTGTGATCTATATGAACACCAAGATTCAGCACGTATCTTATTGCCTATTTTCTACAGTGTTATTTTTGTAACTGGAATACTTGGAAATGGACTTGCTCTCACCGTGATCTTTAAACACAGAAAAAAGATGAATTCAACTACAATTTACTCAATAAATCTTGTTGTATCAGACATTCTTTTTACAACTGCCTTGCCCACAAGAATCACATACTATGCACTGGGCTTTTACTGGCCATTTGGAGAAGCATTCTGCAAAATCACTGCACTCATATTTTATATCAACATTTATGCAGCTGTGAACTTTATGACGTGTCTGAGTATTGACAGATTTGTTGCTGTGGTCCACCCTTTACGTACCAATATCAGAAGAAAGAAAAGTGCCACGTACATTATTTGCTTTGTGTGGTTTCTTGTACTGGTCCAAACTCTTCCATTACTTTCACTACCTATGTCACAGAAGGTGGGAACAAGAATTACATGCATGGAATATCCAAATTTTGAAAAAATCAATAATCTCCCTTGGATACTTCTTGGTGCCTGCTTACTTGGATATGTAATACCACTTGGAATTATATTAGTCTGTTACTCTAAAATTAGTTACAAACTTTGTCAAACTGCAAAAGAGAACCGTTTAGCTGAAAAATCAGGAACAAACAAAAAGGCAATTAATATAATTATTTTTATCATTATTGTCTTCATCGTCTGTCTCACGCCATATCACCTTGCCATTATTGTATATATGATTAAGAAGCTTGTGTTCGTCTATATTCCGTGCACTTCTCAACAAATCTTTCAGAAGACCCTTCATTACACTGTGTTCCTGATGAATTTAAACTGCTGTTTTGATCCTTTCATCTATTTCTTTGCATGCAGAGGATACAAGAGAACAATACTGAAAATACTGAGACGCCAAGGAAGCATTTCACTATCAAGTGCAGTCAAAACAGCTCCTGAAGAAAGCTCCCGTGATAATATGGACCAAAAGCTGTCTCCTGTTTCACTGTATGAAAATGTAAATAGGAGATCAGAAATTAACATTTGAAAACATGATTGATTTCTAAAAATTGACTCATGATTTCAGAAAAATTTGGGAACAGCAAAATCCATGAACCAATAATTTAAAAAAAATTAAAGCCAGTAATTTGAATCTGCGAGGAGTAGGGGATGGATACATGCCACAGCAGCAGTAAAAAATGACTAACATTTTCTTTTCTTCATACTTTGGTTTCATATCATGTGTTTTTCCAAAATGTTTTCATCACAGATCATAGTATGTCTTGTCTATTTCCATTTCTGCATCTTAGTAACCCAAGCAAGAGTGTAGAGTCACTTTCTGAACTAGTTTTCCAGCAAAAAAGCAAGAAACTAAAATTAAATTTAATGTCCAGTTCATATATCCTTTACTCCCACAACTGACTCAATAGTGATAGATGGGTAAAAAACTAAATCTGGAATGGAACATTTAATAATAATTGCTTTTTCATAGATAATGCATGATATAAATTACTAAATAATTAGGCAAAGTTGTGTGTTCCAGGAGAAAATATGCAGACCATAATACCTCATTTTAAACATATTAGGGAATGATGATTGAGTCCAAAAGCCACTTGTATCACACTGGCCCTAAAGTTCACTCAGTCTATTCCACTGTCATTCAAGAATTGCAAATGTTTTTTTAGTACACTTTACTAATAGCCCTTGGCCAATGCAGCTCAAGGATGATTCACATTGGGCCCACCAACACCAACCACTGCCAGCCCTATCTTCTGTCTTATACAATATGATCACACACTAGTCTAAGAAGGGGGGATTTCATCTAAGCTACCCATATGACTTCTCAACAAACAAAGAGCTCATGCAAGAATATGTTCTATACATATCCAATAATATATTTTATGCTGACACAGTGTTAAGTATAAGACTGCAACAAGTAACTCCTAGATAGGAGGGAATCAATAGCAGAATATAGCTAGAAAGGGTATTCCTTTCTGTTTGATCACTGATTTAAACGAAAAGCATTCTCATCTTTCACTTTCCAAAAGAATCCAAATGAGCAGGATAAAATGATGTAACATACAAAATGGAGAAACAATTCTGATTATTGCCAATCTTTAATAATTTCTGCATCCAGAAGCTCTTTGTTACATATTGTTTTGTTTGCCATTGATTTGTTCCTTTTCATCCTTTCCTAAGATGCTTGTATGTTTCTTCTCTCCACATGCTTTCTTATCAGAATTAAGGAATTGCTACTTGGAACAGGATGGCTTGGATTTTTAAAAATTTTAAGTACATATAGTTGTGTTTTGGCAACCAAAACCAAAATAACCTTGTAGGATTTAGGAAAACCTGAGCTGTAGAAAGTTAACCAATACACAAAGGCAAAAAGAAAGTTTGCCTGATGAATGATATGTGTAAAATCTGATTTTAAAAACAAGAAAAAGGAAAAAAGCAGGGCAATAGCTAATCACTATTAGTTAAGATTTGTCCATAATATGAGATGAGAGTTATTGTGACAAGGAGTAAAACCCGGTTTTAAGAAGGCGTTAACTTGTAAATTTCTTAGCTGGAAAGAAGCCTAGAAGCAGAAACAATGATTGGCACATGAGTCTGGATGGTACAAGCTATCTGTGGTATTTTGTTCTGGAGATAATTCAAGTGAAAATTAGCTTGTATGTTTCATTATGGGAGTTTTTGTACTTCCTGATGTTATAAATAGTGGTGAACTGGTGCTAAAAGGCAGTTGTTCTATAATAAACAAGGAACACAAGGCAGCTGCTTATGCAGGTGTGGAATGTTGGCAGTGAGTTCTGAAGGGGAATTCAACAGACCCACAATAATCAAGAATCTTCTTTGCCTCACATTTGGTAATTTTGCCCATTGGACAACAAAATTTCTTCTCCTATTAATGTCAAAAAGATTATGACCTGGTTTTCTTATAAGTTTGTGGTACTGCAGCATGTAAAGAGACAGGGTTATTCAACTGTTCTTACCTGCTGCCTCTGTAGTTTCATGAAACAACCAATCACTAATCCACAATTCTGTAGATATATATAACACGTAGTTTATACAATCCACAGTTCAAAATCCAACAACAAACCATGGACTTTCTTAATGGGTTGTTTGTGCCTAACAACCCATAGTTAACTGATGCCACACTAACATACCTGGCAATAAGCCACAATAGTTGGTTGTTGTGAAAACTATCTATGATGAACCCAACAGATAATCATGGGTTGCTGGATCCCTTCTTCCCCCACTTTCCCATTGGTCCTTTCCAGGGACACTGCAGGAGGAACCGGGACAACCTTCCCCATCATGAATATGTGGAACCAGCTAAAGAGCCTCAAAGCAAAAGTAGCAAATTACCCTTACTGCTCTCACAATGGGATTGTCAGGCAACCACTAGTGCCCCTTGCCTCCAAACTGTCCAGATGGCATTTGAGGTCTGCTGGTACTGACTTCCTCCTGCCCCTCCAACTTCATGAGAACTTTTGAGCTCATTGCAGCTTTTTTCCCTTTTAAATGTCATTTTTTCCTAAGGATGGCAAAAGCCAGCTCGATAGAGGTGTTGGGGAAACAATGGCTTGGCTAGGGGACAAGGAACTTGCACTTAGCTCTTTTCTACTACAATAACTAAGTTTTCACATCTTGTATGGGGGAGTGTTTCACAAAATTATTTATAAGAATTATTAAAAATGTTAGTTCCTGGTTTTCTGAGGAAACATTCCTGCTACAGTACTAGAAGTGCTTAAAAGCACAGAGCACAGTTTGCACTGATCATGGGAGAAATTGCATTAAAATTAGGTGATGCAAACATAAGTTACATTTCAAGATACATTTCATTACAAGATTTATCATACTTTCAGATACTGCTATTACTATCCAGCAAAAACCTTTCTATTACCTATAAATAGGGAATACAATGTTTTGTCTTATGGCTTGAGCCTCAGTCATCTGCTTGTCATTGATTCTCTTGCTAATCCTGGAAAACATTTAGACATTTAAAGAAAAATGTCTTGCTAGCAAGCATGGGATGTCTGGAAAATTCTCGTGTTTCACACCCATGTCTCATGATTCCCCCCAAACTTCATTGTGGCTGAAAAAGGGGAAGGAAATTTAGTGATTAAGCCTCACAGGAGGCAAAGAGATGATGGTCTGAAAAAGCAGACTGGCACATTCTTTCAGAAAAGATCAGCACTATTCCCATCTCTGATCGGTTAGCCAAATGCTACAGAGAAGCTAGCAATTAATAATTATTATTATAGTTATCATTACCTAAAAGTTTTAATTTCAGTTGACAGGTTAAATCTGGATATGTTTGCATATGAAAAGAACAAGTGTTCTAAAGAAGAAAGTATGCTTTGTTTTTACACGCGGGAGAAATGGTCTTTGAAGAAGCATGCTTCCTTCTATTTTACACAAGAAATGCCTTTTCTAAAAAAAAAAAAAACTCCTTCCTAATTAATTTAAAGCTGGGATAGCCACAGTTTTTGCATTAGTGGATGCATTTAGAATGTTAACAGAATGCCATAGACATGTTGCTAAATTGACTGCCATGGAGGGGCATGACCAGTTACAAAACACTCATTCCCAGAAGGCAAACTGGTGTGACTAAAAGAAAAGTGACTTGTCCAAGAACCTAAGTACAAGAGAGACGTATCTAAGAAGTAAAATATGCCACCTTTGTTTTGAACCAAAATAAAGATGGTGCCAAAGGGCAGTACCTCACTTTGCAGCATGCCAACCTCTCAGTTAAAAACAAACAGAACAAAATGAATTAAAAAACAGGAGGAGCAGGGAGCCTGATAAGTACCAGGAGATATGTGTGAGGGCACAATGGAAACACCAGAATTACAGGCATCTTTTTAGTAGATCATAGTGTATTTAAATCACTTAATATAAACTTTTAAAACAACTCAACCTTGCAGCCCTAGTCATTACTGACCATCCCTGAGATTATGTTCCCCACTGCAGACTGTAATTTTAACTATCCCAATGAATTTAGGGTATCTTGAATAAGGAACCGAAACTCAAAATAGCGTGAAGAACAAACAGACTCTGCCCTCTCATGCTCTATTTACAAAGCTGTAGCTATAATAGCTGTAATCACCAAAGCCAATCCTAGTGCCACCTGCAAAATAGCTAATTGTGTACAGGAGGTTTAGATCCTGCCATACTGCAAGATACATGTTTCCACTGACAAAGGCAGATGTAATGGCAGGATTCCACATAGATCCCTTACACTGCATTCTGTAAGAACTTCTAATTTTTTAATATCTTTCAGTGCACTCCTGAAGCAGATACTTCTTCTGTGCACTCACCTTGGACAAGATGTAGTAGTGTTCTACATAGCTTGTGGGATCAGCACTAAAGCAATTTATATAAGTGAGTAGTTAGTACTGTGCAATAATTTCAAATATCTATCTAAT